CACACACGTACACACACACACAGCGAGTCCCAGTGGTCGCCAATCATGGGCGACTGGAGCGGCGGTTCCGCGTTCCCGCTGTGGTATGCCCACTACGGTAAGTCCATGGCTTGAGCAACACGGGGGGCCGCATGGCAGCCACAGCTGTGGCCACTTGATTTCACAACACCTGTGCACTCATTTCTTGCGATCGCGTCGTGCCACTTCTTGCAACACCATCACCATGCTACGCACTTGCACTTGCACTTGCACAAGATACGACCCGCCTTATTCTCACTCACCTACTTCCTTTCAACACTTCCCTACAACCCCCCCCCCCTTGTTTTGCCCACACACAGACGGCTCTGCGTCCTTCTCTGACTTCCGCGCGTTTGGCGGCTGGAGCAAGCCCTCCATCAAGCAGTTTGCCGGTGACGTGTCCATGTGCGGCGCCGGTGTGGACAAGAACTGGTACCCGTGAGCACGCCTTTATTCACATGATGTGAGCAGCGCGTGTTGGCGTGACCGCCTGCTCGCCCGCTCGCCTCAGCAACAGCAACGACTTCTTGCCATTCACATGCGCGTGTGCGAAATCATGGTCTTCCCCCTTCTCTCTTCTGTTTTCTTTGCATGCTTGCCTGCCCGCCCTGTCTGCTTGTTGCTTTGCCTTTTGTTAGTCCACCTCTCCTGTATGTTTCACCACTGTCACCCTTGCCTTGCCAAAGCCGTGTGTTTGATCATCCCCCCTCTGCTTCAACCGCTGTCTGCTTCTTGCCAACAAACAGCCCGTGCATCTCAGCTTACGCTTTGTGCTGCTGGGCTGCTATGTGGCTGGCTGTTGGCACACATGAAGCATGCGTGGTGATGTGATGGGTCCCGTGTTGCTGTCTGTTGCAATGCCTGTGATGATCCTGTCATACACGTGCACTTTCCTTGCTTCAGCGAAACTACCGTCACAGCATTTGATTGCGCTCTTCATTGAGGCGTGCTTTGCCACTCTACCACACAACCACAGAACAAAACATCACACACACACACACACACACACACACACACACACACACAAACAAACAAACAAACAAACAAACACGCACACACAATCACGCTCGAAAACAGCTGAGCAACCAAGCAAACTAATCGCTTGATGAACGGCGCCTCTTGGCGGTGGTGCTGCCTGTGTTGTTCGCATCAACGGACGTGTCAGCCTCGCCAATGTCTTCCAACCTGTTGCGCAGCAGGTGCAATGCACGCCCAAGTCATCAGCACTGTATGCAAGGGGCAGGGGGACTTCTCGGACGAAGAAGCATGGGGAGATACACACAGCCTGACCAAACAAGAAGACAACGCCCCAAATTGGGATGCCCTTTTTTCACGTTCTCAAACGAACGCACACGCACGCACGCACGCGCGCACCTACCTTTCGACTTTGGCCTTGCAGAAGAAGCAATCGCTGTTGCTCTGAAGATGGCGGGAGATGCACAGGCGGCAGCTCGTGTGCTGGGCATGGGATGCAAGCAACAGTAGGAGGAGAAGAAAACCAGTGGGGAAGAGAGAGGAGGGAGAGGCAGGTGGGCATTGACTGCACGTGAATCCTCCTGGTGCACCACCGCACAGCGCAGCAAAGCACACATATGCTGCGTTTATCCTCACACAACCACACACAACCACACATGCGCACACACACGCACACACGCACACGCACACGCACACGCACACACACACACGCACACACGCACACGCACACGCACACGCACACGCACACAGGGCTCCACAGACTACGCGACACGCACCTCGCAGGGGATGAACTTGACTTCAATGGTGTGTGCGTAGCAGATGGGGCAGAGGTCGCCGTCGTCCGAGGACGTGCTGTCCGTCAACTGGCGTCGTGCTTTCTTCTTCGCCTGCTCCGCTGCAAGCGACCGCAGCCGCTCAACAACACCAAGCACCTCTGCACGGTCCTCCGCACTGACGCGCTGCAAGGGGCTGTTGCTTGCATGCAACCGGTCGTCAAGGGACGTGAGCACCGCCTCCGTCAGCAGCGAGTTCTCCGAAACGCGCTCCATATTCTTGTCGGACATGGTTGCCAGCGCAGTGACGATGCTGAGGCTGCACAGGACCAGGCCGGGCACGCTGCACTCCGCAAGCCCAACGCACGACGCAACAATGTCGGCGAACGTGTCTGTGAGGAACAGGCGATCAATAATGTGCAGGGCAATCTCAGCAACCTGCACCGTGCGCAGCGCGTTGTCCGGGTGCGGCAGGCTCTCGTCAAAGATGGACGGGCACGTGCGTGCGAGAAACTCAAACAGCTGGAGGACGCTGCCGAGTGCAGAGTAGAGGAGGCGGCTGCGCTGCACGTCTGCCACCAGGCGCGGCCCGGCAAACTGCTTGGCCAGCTCCTCCTTGATGGCGCTCAGCCGCTGCCACAGCTCCGACGATGCCCAGTTGGGCTGCTCCAGCGCCGCCGCAACAAACTTGCCCACCAGCTCCCGCTCGGCCTTGCATGTGGCCTGCCACGCCTCGGCCAGCGGCGGCGGTGGCAGGCCCGCTTCATCCCGAACCAGCCCGTCGCGCACGCGCACAACCGCTTCGCCGCCCAGCCCGTGCGCACCCAGCATGCTGCTGAGGATGACGATGACGCGCCCCAACGGCTGGACCTCCTCCGTCACAGAGAGCATCAGGTTGCGCAAGAACAGGAGCAAGAGGTCCCGCTCCGAGCACAGCAGCTCGCACATGTCGTGGGTGTGGGTGACGGTGGCGCAGGACCAGTCGCAAGAGCGCATGCTTGGGTTGACCACCTGATCGCTCACCAGCCACGAGGAGAACACCTGCAGCATCCGCGTCGCCACGCGCCGTCCGTGCTCGTCCCGCAGGAACAGCAGGCAGTGGCGCGACGTCGCAGAGAGGTGCATCTCTGCCGTCGCCAGCCCCATCATGAACATCATGTGCTGCACCGCAAATCCAAAGCTCAGAGACACCAACCCGAGCGCCTTGCCTTCCTCCAGCCCTTGTAGCATATTCAGCAGCTGCTCGGTAAACACCAGCAGCTTGTGCTGCCGCTGTGTGCCGAGTCGCAGTGCGCGGCGGCACATGAGCATCTTGACGTCGCGTCCCCAGCGCTCCGGCTGTGTCAAGAGGTCTGCCTCTTCCCGGTCGTCCTTCGACCACGGATCAAACACAGCCGGTGCCCAGTCGTCACGCTCCTCGCTTTGTGGCTGCTCCTGCTCTTGCTGCTGCTGCTGCTGCTCTTCGCTGGCTGGCTGCGGTGGCGTCGTCTCATCACCATCACCAGCACCATCACCACCGTCACCCTGGTGCTGCTGTGGGCGCATGGCAGCCTCAAACTTGAACGCGGCGTCGGCAATGAGGCGTGCCCACCGCGCGTCCTCCAGCACCCCGCGCAGGTCTTTCATCATCGCTGACAACACCATCGTCAGCATCAGCATCAAAAACACCTTGCGCGACACACCGGCGCTGTCGCTTCGCTCTGGCAGCGGCGGCAGCTCCCCTGCATCAGAGCGCTTCTTGTACTCTGCGCGGACAAAGTCCAGCGAACCGCCCAGCCGCTCGCCGCCGAGGGACGGCCCGCGCACCGCCGCAAAGAAGTTGCGCGCCTCTGCAAGGTCCATCCACGCCACGTCGCCGCTGGCAAACAGATCGTCCTGCATCAGGTGTGACACGAGGCCGAAGAATACGCCCATCATCACGGGCGCTGGGAGCGACAGCGACTGTACAAACAGGCTTGGCTCGCTCGCCTTCTGAAGGAGCTCCCACAGCATGGGCAACACGGTGTTCTGCTTCCAGTCGTCCACGGTTGCGTCGGGCCCAAGCTTGTCCAGCCCAAGGCCGATGAGCGCGCCCCGCTCCCGGTCCACCTCATCCGCCGCCTCCGCATACCGCTTCGGCAGCGACATGTCAACCCCTTCGCCCTGTGTGTGTGTGTGTGTGTGTGTGTGTGTGTGTGTGTGTGTGTGTGTGTGTGTGTGTGTGTGTGTGTGTGTGTGTTTGTTGCATCCAGCAAGGAAATCGAACACAAGTTGGTGAGTGGATGAATGCGGTAGCTTGACGGCACGAGCAAACTCGAGAGTATGCGCCGCGAAAGCAATGTGGCGGATGAGTACATGCAATCACCACGTGATTGTCAGCATGCAAGTTAGCAACTGCCCAACCTCGGCGAGGTGGTGGAGGGCGTTGTAGTGCGGGAACATGCGGTGGGCATCGTCGCTGGAGACGTGACGGTCCAGAAACAGCGCCAGTACCATGCAGCAGTACGCCATGTCCCCGTTGAACTGCTGCACATGTATCTTGTACAGCGTTGGGTTCCTGGCAGCGCGTGTATGCGGAGACAGTCGTGTGTGTGAATGTGTGTGTGTGTGTGTGAATGTGTGTGAATGTGTGTGTGAGTGTACAAAGGATGGAAGGGAGCAGATGTATACGAACACCGAGCACAAGTAATGCTTCGGGACGAAAGCGGTGTGGATAGTTGAGGAGATGTGGCAGTGCAATGCAGCCACGTCAACACGCGACGTACTCGAGAACAATCCGCGCCAGCTTGATGTACTGCACAGCTCCTGTTGTCATTCACACACACGCACATGCGCACACACACAGGCATGAACACACACACACACAGGCATGAACACACACACACACATGAACACACACACACGCATGAACAAGCGAGATGACATTATCAGGAGCAGGAACTGGTTGGGGTGCAAGAGAGGAGCGCTGATCCCAAAACAGGCCAGAACAGCACGAAACGCGAGCCGCCAAATCGACAACAAGCCTGGTTGACGTGAAAATACAGAAGAAAAGGACAGACAGGCACCCGCAAGCACACGTGTCCGTACATCCTGCACACGCAAGACTTAACATGACCACAGGTGCATGGCGTTGCCACACGCACCTTCTGTGACGGAGGTCTTGAGCGTGGTGACGGATAGGCGGAGGAGGAGCGTGATGAGAAACTCCTCCGCGTGTCGGTCCTGCGCCAGCAGACAATGGCATGGGTGGTTGACAGTGGGGTGGTTCCAGGTGGTGAACAACAGCGCAGGGCGCAGGTGGCAGGGCATGGTCACGATTGACGCGACTTGGGTGTGAGGCGGCACTCAGGGGCACACGCCCATCGACCCAACGCAATGCACACATTGCGGCATGGGCGGTGGTGGACCGGTCTTACCCCGAGAACTTGCACGATGGACTCGAGCACAGTTGCAATGCGCTCCTCTGTTTGATGAAAGTGTGGAAAGGCGTCAAAAAGAAGGTCACCGCTGTACAACAAGCACCTTCCCATAAACAGTGCAGCACAAACACACATACACATACACGCACAAGTACACGCACATACACATACACATACACATTCACATACACATACACATGCACGCACACGCACAAGTACACGCACATACACGTACACACGCACGTGCACATACACAAGTACACGCACGTACACACATACACATGCAATTACACGCGGGTGCATCCCTGACCTTGGTCGGCGGCGAGCCACTTGAAGAACGTGTCAATCACGACCGTCTGGACAACGTGTTCGTCCGAGAGAAGCGGCCCGAGCGCATCAACAAGGGCGGCAGTGGCCATGATGGCGTCCATCTCGGCATCGGCGCCCATCGCATCCGCAAACCGCCGTGGCGCCTCCTCAACCTTCAGCAGCATATCTGGTGGTGATGATCGCAGTGGTGATGGATGGGTGGTGGCGATCGTCGGGGTAGTGGTGGTGGTGATGATGACAATCGGGGTAGTGGTGAATGGTGATGACAGCTGCAGTTGCAGCGAAGCGTGCACATGATTGACACGCATGAATGCAAACAAGGCACGGCAAAACAAGCCAGCAAGCCACCAGCCAACCAGTGCCATGTCAGCACGACCACATATGAACACCCTGCTCGTGCTAACACACACACACTCATGCACACACGCACACGCACTCACTCACACATGCACATCAATACCACGATGTGCAATGCCGCAACACGATACGCAGTGCTAGAACACTCCACATACAAGGACGCTCACCGAAGATGGTGCGAGCACGGTGAATGGCCGATGTGGGCGGGGCCTGGAGCGGGCTGTGGCCGGCAACCGGGTAGTGAAACGGCGCCTGCCCGACGTTGACAAACACCATCCCGCCATGCGCCACAGAGACGCCCGCGCAGTAGGCCAGGCGGTGGCCCACGCGCACCTTGTCAAAGGCAACGCCAAGGTCCCGGCCGTTCCTGCAGCGACCATGATGATTGAGATGAAGGTGCTGAGGTGCACTGAAGCACCGTGTCGACACGCATGCACGCACACACGCACACACACACGCACACACACACACACACGCACACAGCATACAAGGGTTTCACACCTGTAGTAGCTGATGGTTCCCTGATCAAGGTCGATGCAGCAGCCAATGACGTCGCCCTGGACCCAGTGCTCGCCATACTTGCGGCTGCCCACGTTCCACTTTCGCCGCCGCATCCCGTCATATGCATACGAGTCTGGAGGGACAAGGAAAAACAAATATACACACACATACACACACATACATACACACACATATACACATACACACATACACACATATATACACATACACACGCACACACAAACACACGCACAAACACACACAGGCAGAGTGAGTCCTGTGAGTGGTAGGAGTTGCAGCAGCCATGGCAACAGCGTGTCGATGGAAAGAAAAAAACGTCGTTCACGAAACAATGCTGTTTGTTGCGCGTACCTCGCGAGTCCCCAACACCGTCCGATGCTGTAAAGCGGCAGGCTGGAGAACACCAGCCGAGTTGCTACACGCGAGAGTGAATATGGTGTGTAAATGAGGTCTGCTTCTCAACACGCCACAGTGACGCACACGGTGACAAACATACATACGCACACATACACACGCATACACACGCGTACACACATACGCACACACATACGCACACACATACGCACACACATACACACATACACACACACATACACACATACCCGCGCGCATCCAAACCCACATACAAACACAAACACACAGACGGGCTTACGATGGTTTCTGGGGTCGTGACGATGACGACCTCGAACATCCATTTGCCGGCGCACACGGCGACATCGGACCGAATGGAAGGAAACGCCCGCACGGCCTCGACACAGGTGAACTGGCGCGTGCGCGGCGTGTATGCGCCCAAGCTGAACACGGTGAATCCAACACCCGCTGGTCCAAGCCGCTCCTTTGTCTGCGACCCATGTGGGTGAGTGAACAAGATCGAGGCGAAAGAGAGATCGACACGTGTCAACAAACATGAGGATATCGACACATGCAAGCAACATGGCGAGGAAAAACGTGAGGGCAGCGGTCAACAACGACAAGAACTGCACGAACACAAAAAGGCCCCCCTAACGGCTGTCGACACACCATTTCTTCGTGGGCTGGGGCCTCAGGCACTCGCGGGATCTTTGCCTGCACAATCCTCTCCGTCTACAGCACACGCATATGTGATGATGCAAATTGGCGCCAACAACCATGGTCATAAGCGTACGCGTTGCGTGCGTGTGCGTACGTGTGTGTATGTGTATGTGTGCGCGCGTGTGTGTGTGCGTGTGTGCGTGCGTTCACACGAGCACTCAAACACAAAGATGCACACGCATACACAGCAGGCACAGGCTGTGTTGTCGAGAAGGGACAGGCGTGCGGGCCCAAGTGACAACACACCACGCACATACACACATGCACGCTCATCACCGACCGTGGCGAAGCTTGGCGTCGACGTGTCATACGGCGACACATCGCCGAAGCAATACTCCTGAATCAAAGGGAAGCAAACCAACAACACACCGCAGGAAACACAGCATCGACGCACGGTATGCTATTAGACACTTGCTGCTTTTGAGACAGACAGGGGTGGCTTCCCTGGTCGACACAAAGCACAAGCACCCAACAGCAGCAACAACAGCAACCAACCAACAACAAACGTGTCATCATCGACTCTCACCAGCACAGCACTGTCCATGTTGTTGGGGAAGAGAAAAACCGCCACAGCAGCGCGGCGTCCTGTCTTTCCTCGCAACAGCACAAAATGCATTTTCAAAACGTGGTTGCTTCCTTTCCTTTCTTTTTTTGTGTGTGGCTGACTCACAACTCACGCCACCGACCAATCAACGCTATCTTCTCCATCACCGTCCCTCAACACAATAACAACCAAAGTTGCTGTTGGTGTTGATTCTTTGGTGTTCAGATCAGCATCGACCACCACCTGTGCTGCTGGTTTGTTGCACGCACATGCACACAGAGCGTCAGCCCAACCACCGTGTCACTGTGTCACACCACACCACACGATCAGCACCAGAACCGAAACCACAACAACACCCACACCAACAACAATATCAACAAACAACAACCACAACCGGACATCCGATCACAGCTCATCATGAAGGGGCGAGGGAGTGGCCAAGGCAGTGGCCACCCCGTGGTCGTCGCCGTTTTGTTGGCCCTCGCGTGCCTTCTCGTGTCCGCACGTCCCACACTGGCTCGCAAGGACCGAGACTTCAAGCCACACTCCCAAACCAGCCTTCCGTACGTCGTTGCCTCTTGTGTGTGTGTGTGTGTCATGTGTGTGTGTGCGTCATGTGTGTGCGTGTGTGTGTCATGTGTGTGTGCGCGCGTGTGTGTGCCATGTGTGTGTGTCATGTGTGTGTGTGTGTTCGGGTACCGTGTACATTGCGCACTTCAGGTTTCGATGACATCTCACACAAACACACAAACACACACGCCCTCGCACTCACTCTTCTCAACCCGCACGCAACCACAAACCCACGCATGTGCACGCAACGCACACAGGCTCAATGCTGGGCCGGGGGTGACGATGGACGAGCTGAACAACGTGCGCCAGAGGCTGGACGTGCTGCCCGACCACCTGTTCGCCATGACCCACAACAACCTCATGCTGCGGTTTCAGCTGGGCGGCGTCGTGTGCGGCCGAATTCCAGACACCGCGTTTTGCCTGCAGAGCCTGCCCACCACGCGTTGGATTGGCAGCATCGTCACACACTACCCACTTGGCGTGGGTAACCTCACTGTCACGGACGTCTCCGCCTCTGGGTTCCGCCTCACGTCCACGTACACCCTGGACGTGTCGCGACCAAACGAGACCATCAGCACGGGCGCCATATCCATGTTCAGCCAGTTTCTCCCGCCAACACAGAAGGACATTATGACGCGCGGCGAAATCGAGTTCACCTGCGCGCGAAACATCACGGTGCCGACATTCCCCCACCTGAGCCTGGGCATCGACCGTATCATGGAGGATGGCATGGTCGTGCACCGCTACCGCCTCGTGGCCGCCCACCACTGCGTCTGCTCAACACCAGACCCATCCTCCCCCTCATCATCGTCAGCAAACGGCGACGGTGCCTCCACCTCATCCTCCTCTGCAACCACACCTCTGCCGCTGGCGTCGTCCACAACCGCCGGTTCACCATCCTCCTCCTCGTCAACATCAGAGCATTTGCTTGCACACCCGTCTTGCGAGTACTTCAACACCACGTACAGCTACGCCTCTGCGATGGACGAGTGGGAGCGCAAGTCGCCAGACCACAGCTACCAGGCGCACAAGTGCTTCACCCGCGTCTCGGGCCGCCTCTCAATCTGGGCCGGCATCGGCACGCTCCTGATTGCGCTCATCTGGGGGATGGACGTCTGGCTCGGCGTGCCCCTCATCGCGTGCGAGTCGTGCACGGGCGCAGACAGACATGTGGACGAAACGTCCACCTGCCGCGGCCGCTGTCTGACGTCATCGGCACCGCGGCACCGCCTCCACCCCATCGGCACTGCACGCTACATCTGGACCTTTGGCTTCCTGGACGTGCTCACACCGCCCGTAAACATGCTTGAGCGGCGTGACTCCGCGTGGGCAACCGCTGCCGGGTTTGGCATGATGAGCCTGACCATCCCCTTCGTCTTCAACGGCGCGCTGGAGCTGACACAGATCCTTGAGCTGCTGCTCTTCTTCACGCCCATCCTCCTGTGCCGGCATGCGCGCGTGCCGTCCATCGGCTTGTGCCTGGGCTGCTTCTTCTCCATCATCGCCCTGGGCGAGATTGGCACGCTCATGGGCTGTCTTGGCCGCACGTCCTCCTTTGTGAACCTCATGGCGACCCTCCCCTCCCTGCTCTGCGCCATGCTTGTTGTCAGCTGGTACGTGCTTGAAACCAAGCGCCGCTTCGTGGCCCTGTGGCTCTGGTTCAACGACCGTGGGCCCAGGCCCGTCTCCTGGCGCGAGCGCGCCCTGCTTGCCCTTGACCGCAGCGGGTATGTTGCCAGCCTGCTTGCCGACAAGATCAAGGTCAGCCTTGGCGAGTCGCTCACCTGGAGCGCGTTCCGCGCCACCATCCTCGGCCAGGACAACTACAGCGTGCCCACGCGGCTGCTGACGGCTGTGATCCTGGCCATCAGCTGCCTGGTGAGCCTGCTGCCGCTCACCATGTCCTATGCGAGCCTGGCCGGCGCTGCGGTGGAGTGGATCATGTCCATGGGACACTGCTGCTCAGGTGTGCAGTGCGACCCGACACCGGGGTCCAGCCTGTGGATCAGAGACGCGTTTGACCTCGGTTACGGCATCCAAGTTGGGCGCGGGCACTCGTGCTCGCGCGACCAGATTGTTGTGCGCCGTGCCGTGAGCTACGGCATGACTGTCAGCACCTCTGTCACCGCTGTGGCTGTCACCTTCTCGCTGCTGCATGTGCTTGTTGTCTACCGCAAGCGCATGTTTCTTCTCTTCCGTGGACGCCCCGATTTCATCACAAAGCATGTCCCCATGGACAAGAGTATCGGCAGCACCCTCAAGTTTGGCGGCACGCAGGTGTGTATCTGTGCGCGTCTGTGTGTTTGTTTGTGTGTGTGTGTGTGTGCGTCTGTGTGTGTCCGTGTCTGTCTGTCTGTCTGTTCGTGCATGTGTCTGTGTGTGTGTGTGTGTGTGTGTGCGTGCGTGTCTGGCTGGCTGGCTGGCTGGCTGGCTGGCTGGCTGGCTGTGAGAGTTAGTAACTGCATACGTACTTGTGCTTTCCTTTGTTCTTCTTCCTCCATCTCCATCCTTTCTCACCCCTCACCCAACATACTCACACACACACACACACACACTCACTCACTCACTCTCTCTCTCTCTCTCTCTCTCTCTCTCTCTCTCTCTCTCTCTCTCTCTCTCTCTCACACACACACACACACTCACACTCACACCACATGTGGCAGGTTGCGAGTGCCATTGGCGGATGGGTGCTGGGCACATGTGTGCTGACGCTGCTGATTGGCTTCATTGCCATCTCCACCGTGCTGCCGTTCATGAACATCTACGGCGACTGGTTCTGGCCCTGGTGGTTCCAGTTTGTCATCTACAACCACGAGACCGGCGCCCTCGGGTTCCCCGTCATCCTGCTCATCAACTACTGGCTGCTGCTGTTCTGCGTGCGGTTTGTGTTTGAGATCTCCAAGAAGGACCACGGCCTGCAGCGGCGCGGGTTCTTCCACCTGATGGACCTGATCCAGTTTATCTTCTACATCCTCAACGCGCTGCTTGGCCTCATCAAGCGTGCCGTCACCTCCATGGTGCTGCAGGCCGTGTTTGTCAGCCGCATGGACAAGAGCCTCATGCCCCGCAAGTACGAGCTCACGGACAAGTCGTACGTCGCCTACTTGGGGTTCATGCAGCTGGACTACTACTACTCCCACCCAGTGCTGCTCACCGCCGTCTACTTCTTCCTCGCGGGCACCCCGCGCGACCGTCGCACAGCACGTCGGCTCGGCATCCGCCTGTGGCGCTCCCGTAACCGCGGCGACCGCGTATCGCTCTCGCGTGTCACGTCCAGCCCGCGCAGCCCTGACAGCGGCGGCGGCGGTATTGAGCTCACCAGCAGCATGGAGTCGCCTGGCTTGCAGCTCGGCGGAAGCGCCTCGTATCAAGACAGCATCAACGGCAACGGCGCGTGTGTGCCCGAGTACACGTGGCGGGTGCGCAACCGGTTCTGGCTGGCCATCACGCTGCACAACAACCCGCAGCTGAAGGAACAGCGCAGCCACTACCTGCGGGCCAAGGCCGAGGAGCAACGGCTGAAGGAGCTGAGGGAGGCCGCCAAGGTCATGCGCAGCCGCCGCATGTCGCTGCACGAGATGGCACATCGCGTCACGCGCGCGTCCGCACACGTCGCACACACGCTCGCGGGCCTGCGCTACCACGCCATGGACAACCAGCCCGCAAGCACGGCGGAGAGCGGGCGTGACTCGCCAAAGGCCCTGCTTGCCGACAGCGCTGATGGCACCAACGGCACGAATGGCACAAAGGCGGTGGCGAGCGGCAACGGCTACCATGGCGGTGGTATTGGGTTTGGGCGGAGTGGGAAGAACAAGTACCTGCGCCACTATCGCCAGGACAGCACAGATGATCACGATGACGATGATGATGACGATGAAGGCGAAAACGCCTACGATTACGGCGATGGTGGTGGTGGTGGTGGTGGTGATGGCGCGAAGAGCAGCAGCGACGATGTGCATGTGCAGCACCGCCAATATGATGTGGCAGACAGCGATGGCGAGGCGCTCGACTACACGTGCCCGCCCAACACGCTGCTTGACCTGAGCCAGGTGCACCTGCAGGAGGTGCAGCGCAAGCAGCAGCGGGCCATGGAGGACGAGGACGGCCTGTACGAGGAGCTCGCAGCCTTCAGCGCCAACCTGGCCGTCGACTCTCGCAGTGGCAGTCGTGGTGGTGCTGATAGTGGTGATAGTGATGACGACGCAGGTGGTGATGTGGCGCGTGCACGGCGGGGTGTTGGGTCGTTTTCGCCAACAGCGGGAGTAACTACAGCGACGTCGGCGCCGTTATCAGCAGCAACGAGCTGGAACCCAACACGACGGGCTGGCGGTGTTGGTGATATAGACGGTGGTGGTGGTGGTGGTGGTGGTGATGAGAGGGGGCGTGCGCAGTCGGCGCGGTTGCGTTCACGGGTGGTGCGGGATGATGGTCGGAATGGCGGTGGGAACGGTGCTGGTGAGAGGCAGCGCTCCATCACGTTTGCAGACCGCCTCAGCCAGTCCACAAGCTCCCAGCTTTGAAAGAAAGGTGCGTCTGTGTGTGTGTGTGTGTGTGGGTGTGGGTGTGGGTGTGGGTGCGTGGGGGGTGTGGGAGTGGGTGTCTGTCTGTCTGTCTGTCTACCTGTCTATGTCTGTGTTGTGTGCACGTGGACAGCCGGTTGCCTACATCCCTCGCTCGCGCCACCTTTTCCGTGCTGTTTCTTCCCCGCGTCACCTCACCAAGTGCACTGTTGCACGCCATTGCTGTTGCTTGTAGAGCCCCCCACCCCACGCACGACACCTCACGATACCGGTTTTGTTTGCCGTGTGTAGCAGAGACGGAATCAGTTGTGGATGCTTGCGTTGATTTGATGTATCTAATCGAAGTTGATGGTTGACCTTTGTTTGTGTGTAACAACTTCTTGTTTGAATAATTTCTGTTCCCCCCCCCCCAACCTGCCCTTTCTTCGCCCGCTTGCGTTTGCGTGGCTGTGTTTCGTGCGCGTGTGTGTATGGTTGTTGAGTAAGCGCACAGACGCTGCTCTCTAATAAAGCAAGCAGCTACAGCAGCAACTACAGCAGCAGCTACATGCACGACAGAACAAGAAAGGTCTATCCTAGTGGAAACAAGAGGAGGAAGGGAAGAGGAGAGGAAGCCTGCAGCACAGAAGACTGCAGTCAAGGGCAAGAGTGTCAACACATTCGCACACACACACACACAAACACATTAACGCGTGCGTGAGCGGCCGTCACTTGTCCTTTGCCGATTCCTTGGCCTTGGTTGCTTGACGGTGTTTGGTGTCCTTCTTTCCAGCATTCGTCTGCTTGGTGTCAGTGCTGCCGCTGTCTTCTTTGCTGCCCTCCTTGCCTTCTGTTTCTTTCTTGGCTTCCTGTTCCCGCGTTGCCTTTTGCAACTCCTTGACAAACCTGACAGTGAGGATGTGCAAACACGCGAGTCGCTGATGATGAGATGGTTGGTGGTTGATTGTTGGTTGTTGGTTGTTGGTTGGTGGTTGGTGGTGGGAAGAGTGGAGCAAGGAGGTGCACGTGCACACACACAGACACACAGACACACACACACACAGACGCACACAACACACATGTACACCACACACACGCACGCACGCAAACACTGCTGCACTGCTTGCCAGAGTGCGCTAACCATGCCATTGCGGCGGCGAGGCCAATGGTGAGGAGGAGAAGCACGATGACGTGTGGGTTTGGTCCAAAGAAGATGAGCAAGCCCACATTGTTCAGAAACAGTGCAATGAACGTGATGCTGAGGAAGCGGATCACCCCGCTGTTCACGCCGGGCATGAAGATGGACTTGACCACCCCTTCCAGGCCATCGTCGCTCCAATTCGACACATCAGGCAGCATCATGGGGGTTGTCTTCGCTTGTTTGGTTGGATGTGGTGGTGGTTGCAAATTGCAACGTATGGTGTGCAATTTCGTGCAACCTCCCTGCAGGCAACCCAAGATGACCAAAATGTTTGCTGCGGTGACTCTTGTCCTGGCGCTTTGTTGGCTGGCTGTGCTGTCCTGTTCACGGCACCAGGTTGCACTTGGAGCTGTGATTGAAGAGGACAAAGATGGAAGGCTAGTCATCAACACCACGGACCCGGCACAACCCGTGTTGGTGAATGGGGTCGACGTGCAGGCAGTGCACCAAGAACTTCAGGGGCTGCGTGCAGCTCAGATGGCGCAGACAATGATAGCGAGTCAGGTCTCCACACTATGGAGTGTTGCCACTGGTCAATCACAGGTGTGCGCTATTGGCTTGGAAGTCGCAGCACAGCTGGGAGAGAAATGCGAGACGCAACTGGCCGGGGGTGCCACAAAGCCGTGGACGCTCGCTGCGCGGTTCGCGAACGACGGCGTTGACACATGGACTTGGAATCGGTGCGATCTCTGGCACAACGCTGCTCTGTTGGGGGAGGCCCAGGGTAGCAGCGATTTCAAGGGCCGTGCTTGGCTGGCTCCAGCTAATGATCTCCTCTTCCTCTCAAATACAGGCGAGTGGATTGCATACGAGAACGCGCTGGGCAGCCAATCCCTCGCGGCTCTCTTCACGGAATATCCTACCACGTGAGCACGTGTGCTTCTGGGTGCTTTTCTTTCACGCCTACCCAGAAGAACACCGCACCGAACGACAAGCGCTGCAGCGATGATGTGTTTGTCAACCCAAAGGACTCGGACGTTGGTCCACACCAAAACACATGTGGGTTCGCTTGGGGCTTCCGTCACAACAATGGCTGCCCATTTGACGATGTTGGCTCGTTCGGTTCCTTCGGTCCCAACTCAGACAATCCGAGCGTTGAAGAACCGTCTCTGGGCTTCCTTGGTGGCGAACTTGCTTGCTGAAGGCATGTACATGGAGCTGTACGTGCGCTGAGGGCATGTTCGACTGCACGCCTCTCTTCACGCCACGCATGAGTGTTGCTGTAATTTCGCGCATCTCTGCTGCACCTCTCTTCTAACGCTATCCGAAGCTCGTTTGTCTTGTATGCTTGCTTGCTTGTGTATCCCTCTTCACCTCTAGTCTACTCCTCCGCACACTCTCGTGCTACGGGAGCACGATTCCTTCCTAAGTTCTGAACCGAAAGTTGTACTGGATGGCAATGCACCAACTACCACCACTTCGAGATCCTGCATTGTCACCATCACCAACACCAACACCAACACCAGCCCCTTGTTCTTTGTATACTGCTTGTGTGTGTGTGCGTGTGTGTGTGTGTGTGTGTGTGTGTGGTGATGTCCTTGTTCCTTTTCTCATGTTCATGCCTCGAGAGGACTTGCTCTCTCTCTCGTTGGCTTCATGCCTGCACTGCTGCACTTCGTCCCTTCGCTTTTCCTCCTCGTTCGCTTCCCTCTTCGTTCTTTCAAGAAGTGTCTGAGTCCAGAGTTCCGTCCTCTCAAACACAACAACAAAACTCGTCAACGCACAGCAATGAGATTCTGAGATCAGACAACAGAACGGAGAGACAGGCAGGGCAGGACAGAGGAGGCTTGCAAGCAGCAGAAGAGCTCAAGGCACCTTCAACTGCCGATAACTGCCTGAAATCATTCACAAATCCTCTACAATATAAGCAGCAAGGACCACGCTTTCGCATCCAGATGGCTGGTGTGTTTGGTGTGAGGCTGGCAGAGATGCTGCCTCACCGACGAGGGGACGGGGAAGACTGGCAGATGGTGTCACAGCGCGACGACTGGTCAAAGGAGCGCCGGGAAGCATTTGCTCGGCTCGTGGACACGCTGGAAGAGGTGTGTGTGTGTGTGCGCTTTCGTTCACGTGTGTGTACAGTTTTCCAATTGCCACGTGCGCACGTGGTGGTGTTTGTGTCGTGTGGTTCGTGTTGATGGCTCGAGCTGCGTGGGAAGGCGTGGAGCGGTCAATCTCGTCAAACACGTTGCCTGCGTGCTTCTAAATGGCGAGAGGGAGACTCGCGGTGAGGCCCTGCTCTGGTTTGCAAGCGCCATTGTGTTCGTTTTCGTGCGCGTGCTCTGACATGGCCGTGCTTTGCCGCTGTGTTTGGCTTGCAGGCGTCGTTGGCCGACGAGGCGCATGCCCGCTCAGAGCAGAGCGGCGTCTGGACAACACCACCCGCAGACATGCAAATCTTTGACATCAAGCGGGCGACTGAGCAGCTGCGATACCTGTTTTACACGGTGAGTAGTTGTGGGAGGCGCGCTGGTGCCAGGAATTCGCGCAACCATGGCTTAGCGAAGAGACACATTGGATAGTCTGGTTCTCTTCCGTCTGCTGTGACTGTGTGTGTGTGTGTGTGTGTGTGTGTGTGTGTGTGTGATGGATGACCGATTGCTGAACACTAGCCGTGCCCTGTGTGGCTTGTGTATGTGGCAGATGGAATGGAACAAGGTTTTTCTGAAGTGGCTCATGGCAACGGCGTTTGAAGTCCTGCCCAAACGTTTGCTCATCTTTCTTGTCCGCACCCTCAAGTACCTCCACACGAAGGTATTGTGATGACGCCGTGTGCATGTGTGTGTTTGTGTGTGTGTGTGTGTGTGCGCGTGCATGTCCGTGCGTGCCACACAGACTCTCTCTCTCTCTCTCTGTGCGTGCGTTTGCATGTGTGTTGCTGCTGTTGCTGCTGCTGCTGCTGTCGTTGCCACGGCCAACGATGTGCACGTTGCGATCGCCACCATTCGTTGCCAGGTGCCGGAGGTGTTTGATGAGAGCGGACTGCTCGACTACCACGCACCGGCCCGCCTCTCCATGAGCTCGGCGTTAAAGCGGTGGATCACAACACACTCATCGCCACCACCTCCGCCCCGCGTAAGCTCCGCGCATGTGTTGATGTGCATGTACTTTTGCTTTTACATGTACACGTGCACGTGCTTGTGCATGTGTTTGTTGGCCTTGCCGTGCATGTGGGTGCGTGGTTTTGTTGCAGCGACACATGGTCGCGGTAACACCAACCGTTTCCCTGTTGCGCTGTACGTGAGCAGACTGGCGACGTGTCACGTGATGTGCTCGTGGTTTTGGCGCCTTGCGAGTACTCGTGGGACAGCCCGCATCTTCGCCGGTGGAAACAGCTCTTCCAGCACTCATGGTGAGCGCACGCGCGCGTGTATGTGTGGGTGTGGGCGAGAGTGCGAGAGAGAGAGAGACAGACAGAGAGAGTGTGTGGGGGGGGGGGGTGTCTGTCTGTCTGTCTGTCTGTCTGTCTGTCTGTCTGTCTGTCTGTCTGTCTGTTCTGTCTGTGTGTCAGTATATGGGTGCCTGACGACTTTTGTGATACACCTTTGCTGTTTGTCCCCCCCCCCCCAAATCTCCCGCTTCTGGTTTATTCCACCTCTCCTTTGTTGCGTTTTGATACGGTCTCACGACCACCACTGCCACGCCCTTCCTTGGTCCACAGGCTCGTTGAAGCCGTCAACGTCACAATGTCCTCCACAGACGACACGGCGCTCAAGAAGGCGTTTCTGGAGAAGGTGCAATTGCTATGTCCTGATGGTGGTCATAATCCTGCTCGTGCTTGTGCTCGTGGTTGTGCTTGCGCTTGTGCTTGCGCTTGTGCTTGTGCAAGTGTGCAAAGGTTGTAAGTTCTTTGGTCTTGATCCCACCCGTCGCTCATGCTTGTGCTGCGCACTCCCCCCTCGCCCCAAACCAAAACAACGACAGCTGACCTCGTTACAAAAGCAGTACCCCACGCGGAAGCTCGTGCTTGTTGGCTTTGGCGTTGGCGTCAAGGTGTGTGTGTGTGTGTGTGTGTGTGTGTGTGTGTGTGTGTGTTTCGTGCTCCTGGACGTGTACTCGTTTGTCAGGTGCTGCTGGATACCAACCACGACATACATTCACGCACACGCATTCACGCACACAAACACACATTTGCGTGCATTCATATGCATGGCTACACTTTGACAGGTGATTGTGACTGCTGCCCAACATAAGCGCGTCGGTGGGCTCATCTGCATGGCCATGATCCTGCAGAGCAAATCCCTGGCCATGGAATCGTACGTTGTCTTATCTTGGTCTTGTCCTGCCTTGTTAGTCTTCACTTCACTCGCCTGCACGCGTCTGTGGCTGTCAACCACATTGCCTCACGCCCCCACCCCCAACCACCACCAACTCCCACACATTTGCAGGAGTATCGTGCAGAAGGATCTGCAGCAACTTGAGTCGCCTGTCGCGTTTGTTGTCGGTACTGAGGCCCGCAAGTCCTCCGTCAAGGCCCTCGAGGAGGTACGAGGCGATGGTGATAGTGGTGGTCGGTGTCACTGTAGTGGGGATGGCACATTCGCTCGTGTTTCGTGCCCAGTGCGTCATTTAAGCCACACACACACACACACACACACACACACACACACACACACACACACACACACACATCACATCACTCACACACACATCACATCACTCACACACATATCACACCACACCACAGGCGCGGCCGCAGATGAAGTGTGCGCGGGAAATCATCTCTGTGCCTGGCGGGGACGACACGCTGCGGGTGCACCTGAACAAGAAGAAGGAGCTGCGGATGACACAGGATATGATTGACAGAGTGAGTGGGCCCTCACGATTGTGCTTGGCTTGCTGGTTGGATGGTTGTCTGGAAGTTTTGGTCGTGTGGTTGTTGTCTAACGCTGGCTCCTCGCCAACACACACAATTTCACAATCACACAATCTCACAATCACACAATCTCACAATCTCACAATCTCACACCCACACAATTTCACAATCACACACACACACAATTTCACAATCACACACACACACACACAATTTCACAATCACACACACACACACACACACACACACACACCACGCGCGATGCTGCTGCGCTGCAGCAAAAGATGGGTGTTCTGAATGTGTTTATCAAGCGATACGTGCTGCGCATCCCGGCATCCGTCCCCCAACACACCGTACGTCTCTGATCCATCGCCTGTTCGCTTTGCCGCCTTTTCTCGCTTCACCCCGTTGCTGCCCCGTTGCTTCCAGGGCAAACACCGCACCCAACTCACCTCTTTCCTCACACAACACCACTCCACACCACGCCAAACGACATGTGCAGGCGCAAATGATGCAGTCTGCCAAGCGCCACGCCGCGCTCTTTGACGAACCCGTGAAGCAGGCTAAGGCGGACACAGCAAGCAGCAAGTGACCACCTGCGAAGATACACCACGCGCCCTGAGCGCTTCCACTGCTGGTCGGTGGCCATTCGTCGCTTCCTGCTGTTGGTGTTTCTCCTTCATCATCGTATCGTCTCTGCTTCTCGCTTTCGCATGCTCCCTCTTTGTTTGTTGCCACTTGCAGTGTGCTTTGCTGTTGTTACCCAATCTCTCTGTCCCTACTCTGTCCATACACGTTGTAAAAGCGATCATAGCTGTCACTTTACGTCTTCACATCCCTGGTGGTGGTGGTGCTGGTTTTACGAGGGGGTTTGCACAGCGCTAAGCGGAGAGGTACAACATAGAAGGGGTGGGTAACATCAATTAGCGCTGAAGCAGGACAGTAAGATGAGTCGTGCTGGCTCGTACGGTGAGCGAGCAAACACGAACACATGCAACAATACACAAAAAGGGGGAGAAACCAAAAGCACACACACACACACACACACACACACACGTCACATCACATCATGACAACAGGCACCGCAACGGACCGGAGAGATACGAAAGGCAGAGAGGCAGGTCAGCTACGACACGGGGGAAGAGAAGAAAGAAAAGAAAGACGCCACCACGGGGAGACAGTGCACGAGTAAGAACAGGCAAGAACGGGGAAGAAGGAAGGAAGAGCAGGCACGCAGGCCGGGTGCGCGATGCTGGTGAGCACACACCACCGGAACAACCAGGGTGACGAGCCCAACGGCAGCACGCGCAACTCAGAAACACGCAACCAGCGTGCCATAAACAGGAACAACACAAGTGTACGTCAATTGGACGGGGAAAGTGGAACACGTAGCAGTGGAATCCCCAACAAGAGGGCAGACGAGAGCATCAACAGCAGCGACGAAAGAACAACAGCAAATGTGTACACGCGCGCGTGCGAATCCACAACCATACACAGACACGAGTTAGCTTGAACTCATGTGAATGCAAGAGTGTGAGAGACGGGCGTTTGCCGTTGCGTTGTCATTGCTGCGTCTACTCCAGGGAGGCCTTGTACTCGGCGACGGCCTGGTCGTACTCCTGCTTGAGCTCCTGCGCCTTGAGCTGGAAGGGCCTCTTCTGCTCCTCCGTCATGCCGCGCCACTCCTCGCCGGTGCGCTTGGCTGTGTCACTCACGCGGTCCTCCGGGTACTGGGCGCGCAGGGCGTCGCGGCGCGTTTCTGCAAACACAAAGTACGCCGACTTGGGCTTCTTGGGCGCGTTGGGGTCCTTCTTCTTCTTGCTGTGGGACAGGAAAGCAAGAACTGTTGCGTGAGGGGTGATGTAAAGAGTGGTGGACGCGGATGATGAAGGCGAAAACAACGGTTTGTGCTTATTGGCTGCAAAATCAGGCTACAAAAAAGGTTCACTACACCCGCGTGCATATTCACCAGGATGCCATGGACGACAACTCACCGGCGCCGGCCACCCTCCTCGAAGCCGGGAGTGGGGACGTAGTTCTTCATGGCCTCCTTGTAGCGCTCGCGGTCAGTGCGGGCCATGTCGTTGTATGGCTTCTTCTCTGCATGGGCCAAGGAGACAAAAAGACAAGAAGAGACGTGCGTAGTGCGTATGAGCGACGATGAAAAAAGAAGGGCGAAGGAAACGAGGAAAAAGGCACCGAAAACACAGTTGGCAAGCGCGCAACCAGCCAGTGTCACGAGGTGACAATCACCATCACCAATCTCTCCACGCAGCAGCAACAAGAACATGCACGTGAGTGACTCGTTTCTGACTGACGTTCGTCTGTGAGCTGGCGCCACTGGGCACCGATGAGCTTGGCAACCTCTGTGACGCTGGCGTTTGGATGCTGCTGCATAATGGCGGGGCGAACCTCCTTGTTGAAGCACTGTGGTGGGAAGCGGAGATGCAGTGCAGTTGCAGTGGAGAGGATATGGAGGTGAGGGGTAGAAGCGGCAGCGCAACACTCAACATGGCACAGGGGCATCGACCCAATGCGTGCGATATCAGCCAACGCTGGGCTGTGATTGTGCCAAGCACACACACACACACACACACACACACACACACACACACACAAACACACACGTTTGCAGTCTGCCACGCACCATGTATGGCGTGAGGGCGCCACGAGGTTTGTTGGGGTCCTTCTTGCGGCGGGCACGGCGCTGCTTCTTGACCTTCACACTGCAATGGACAAGCAAGGCAACAAGGCACTCTATGGGTGAGAGGGAGGGGCGGGCTGGATAAACATGGGGGGGGGGGCTGAAGGCTATCGGTAACACAAGATATCAAGTCAAAAAAGACACGCACACACACACACACACTCTCTCTCTCTCTCCCGCAAGACTGAAACGAGTGACAGCAGGCGGAACGAGAGAAAGTAATGCAGAAAAAAAAAACACACACACAAGAGGCACAGAGGCACTTACGGCTTCTCCTCGATCTCAGGCTCCTCCTCATCATGCTCGTCGTCATCGTAGCCGTCGTTGTAGTCGTCGTAGTGCTCGTCGTCGGAAGACATGATGGCGGTCTTGGGCTGTTGCTTGCTGTGTTCCAGTGATCGGAAAAAGGGTGACCTGGAAGAAAGCACAGGCGATGGATGATCACACAAGGCGGGATCGCAAACGCAGGAGGAGACATGGGAGGAGACAAAGAGAAACCAAAGCGCGTGTGAGTGATCGAGATCCAGGTGATGATGGTGTGATATCCAGGTGATGGTGAGATCAAACTGTGTGGTGTGTGTATGCGGTGTGCGTGCCAGAAGAAGGCGCGCGCGCAAATGTGGATGGCGCCAAATGGCCCATAACGGTCACACGTGGGAACAGCATCGGATATGGGTGGAAAGGAACAATGGCCGCGATGGTGTGTCAAGACACAAGGCACAGCAAGCAGCCAGCAAGAAGAGGGGGAAAAATGAGGCATGAGCCACCCAGACCACACGGCTTGGTGGTGGAAAGGGCTGGCTAGCCAAGCCAGGTATCAAAGGAGGTGCACAGCGGCAGCCATCCGAGCGAGAACAGGTGAACAAAGGCAGCAGGCATGGTTAACGGCAGGGCAGATGAAGCCGAAAACGGCCGACACGAACCAAGATGGCTGGCGTGTAACCACAGTTGAGGGATTAGAAAGGAGGGGGGAGTGCAAGTGGGGGGGATATGGGTGGAGAGGAGGGGGGAGTGGGCCTTGGGGGTGTATGGGGGGAGCCAACCACAGTAGCAGGTGGTTTTCAAGTTTTGGCGGTTTTTCTCCGCTGCACCGCTGTGCACACACACACACACACACACACACACCAGAGGCAGCACGCAGCGCACACACAAGAGAGAGAGGAGGCGCACCCACACACAGCACACACACAGAGGAGACAGGCGTGGGGGTTTGGCTTACCAGGCAGTTGTGTGTGTTATGTGCACAAGAGGAGAGTGTGTGGGAATCAAGCCGCAGCCGCGAACGCACACGAAGGCAGAGAAGAAAGCAAGCAAGAAAGAAAGAGGCAAAAAGGCGGGCAACAGCTTTCTGTGTGTGTGTGTGTGTGTGGCAGGGAAGAGGAGAGAAGGAAGAAGGCAGAAGAAGCGCAGGCAACGTCAAAAAAAAAAAAAGGAGCGCGAAGCACAAGCAACAAAGGGAAAAGGGCGCGAGGGTGCTTAGTTATTGAAGCGAGAGTCGCTATCCACCACCACAAGAAAACATCGTAACGACTCCAATATACGATTCGCTCAACGGACGCTGTGCGGAATTCATGGAAAACATCAACGAAAAACGGACAATAACAGTGGACTGCACCATAAAATGTGAAAACCGGACATTTGTCCAATCACAGCGACAGCGACAGGCAGATATGAAGGAGAGTGGAGTGAGGACGACAACGACGATGACAGTGGTGATGGTGGCAGCGGCGGCTGTTGCCTTGACCTTCTTCAAGCTGTCCTTTGCGCCCTCCTAGTACGTCACAGGGAGAGGGGGGGGGGGGGGAAGGTGGCTTGGGGAGGGGAGGAGATGAGGTAGTTGTGGATCAGTGTGGTCGTAGGTGTTTGTTTGTTTGTTTATGTGTGTGTTTGCATGTGTGTTGTGTGTTCGAGTGTGGGTGAGTGTGTTAATGTGTGCTTTGTGTATGTGTGCTTTGTGTATGTGTGTGTGCGCTTTGTGTATATTTGTGCGTGTGTGTGCATGTTTGTGTGTTTCTAAGTGTGCGTGTGTGTGTGTGTGTGTGTGTGGAGTGGACGTGTTGTGCAATGTGACAGACACAGCATGCCATCGCATGTGCATCGTGTGCATGTGTGGTACGCGTGTGCGATGCGCTGCAGTATGCGCATGACGCACCCTCACAAGCACCCATCCAACACCAACAAACACAAAACAACACCCACCCAAGCCGATCGACAGACTTTGAGGTGCACCGAAACTGGCTGGCCATCACATGGCAGCTGCCAATCTCGCAGTGGTATACCGAGGTATGTCGCTATGAGCACACCTCGTGAAGAGAGCAACAACAACAACAACAATCACAACAACAACAACAACAACCACAACAACAACAACACTGTTTACTCGCAACGACGCACTGGCGTGCATGTGTGCGTGTGTGGGTTGGAGGAGAGCACTTTGCAACGATGCGCACATGTCACCGCACACACTCACTCACTCACACACTCACACTCTCACACGCTTTCACACACACACACACTGTCACACACTGACACACTCACTCACACACGCGTGTGCTAGGCCACGTCGCAATGGACGTTGGATTACCCGCCATTCTTTGCATGGTTTGAATATACGCTAGCACATGTGGCGCAGTTCTTCGATGACAACATGCTGCATGTTGAAAACCTCGAGTATGCATCCGAGAACACCATTCTCTTCCAACGGCTCTCCGTCATTGCAGCAGACGTCGTCCTCATCATCGGCACAATCATGTACGCCTTGATGAAGCTTGTGCATGCGTGCGTGTGTGCGTGTTCGTATGCATGTATCTGTGAACGTGTAAGGTGTTGATAAGGTTGTGTGAATACTCATGGCTATGTGTGTGCATGTGTGTGTGTCGTCGTCTCCGTTGAGTGTGTGGGCGTAGTCACCGCTTGCCCTCCTCCATACGCATGTTCTTAACTGTGCATTTGTACTTGTTCGGCATAGCACGAAGGTGGGCCGTGGCAGTGGAGGTGGTGCTGTCGACAGCAGTCGGGCGACAGTGGCGTCGCAGCTTGCCATTCTGTGCAGCTTTGGCCTTTTGCTTGTGGACCACATCCATTTCCAGTACAACGGCTTTCTCTTTGGCATCCTCCTCATCGCCCTCGCAGCCATGGCCCAGGTAGGGAGGTGTGTATCTGATGCGTGCATGTGTTTGTGTGTGGGTGTGTGGGTGTGTGTGTGTGGGTGTGTGAGTGTGTGTGTGGGGGGGGGGGGGGGGGTCTATGTCCGTCCGTCTGTCTGTCCGCCTGTCCGCCTGTCCATCTTTGTGTGTGTGTGTGTGTGTGTGTGTATCATTGCTTCAACCTTCCGCACCGTGTACTCACCTTTGCCTGCCTGCACGTGTTGCCATGCAAGGGCCACCACGTGTGGGGAGCAGTGGCGTTTGCTGCGCTCTTGAACTTCAAGCACATCTACGTCTATGTTGCGCCAGCCATCTTTGTCTTTCTTCTGCGCAATTACTGCTTCCACAACACTCTTTCCTTGCGTACGTCTGCGTGCGCGTGTGTGCGCGTGTGTGAGAGTGTGTGTGTGCGTGTGTGTGAGAGAGTGTGTGCGTGTGTATTCCTGTGTGTGCGTGTGTGTGTGTATTCCTGTGTGTGCGTGTGTGTGACCTGCTGCCATGGATCAGTTGGCAAAGGGTTTCATGTACACGCACTGATCTCGCTGCATACACTTGCACACGCAAACTCAAATGCGCTCGCCCCTCCTCCTCCTCCCCCTCCTCCTCCTCATCATCTTCTTCTTCTTCTTCTCCTCCTCCTCCTCTTCCCCATCTACCGCTCTCCTCCTCCTCCTCCTCCTCCTCCTCCTCCTCCTCCTCCTCCTCCTCCTCCTCCTCCTCTTCCCCATCTACCGCTCTCCTCCTCCTCCCCCTCCTCCTCATCATCATCATCTTCTTCTTCTTCTTCGTCGCCATCACCATCGTCGTCACAGGATCGTTTTCCATGTGGCGATTTCTGCAGCTGGGCGCGGTTGTGCTGCTCGTGTTTGCGCTCTCCTTTGGCCCCTTCGTCTACATGGTGCGTCCACCCAACACGCACGCACGTGCATATGTGTGTTGTAAACCACAAACAAGTGTTTGCGTTTGCATTCAAGCACGCACCCATGTGACCACCTCCCACACTGTCAACAACACCAGCCCCACTGCCACCACCAGCGTCATTCGCCAACTCCCTTCTTGTGCCCTCACCCATCCATCCACACATCCATCCCATCACAGGGCCAGTTGCCCCAGGTGCTGTCACGCCTGTTCCCCTTCAAGCGTGGTCTCTGCCACGCATATTGGGCCGCAAACACCTGGGCGCTCTACAACGCCCTCGATAAGGCCCTCCTCTTCGGTACACACGTGTTGGTTGGTGTGTGTGTGACGGTGGGTGGGTGGGTGATGATGTGTGTGTGTGTGTGTGTGTGTGTGTGTGTGTGTGTGATGGTGTGTTGGTGTGTGTGATGGACTTGACTGATGGCGTAAGTGATGCATGTCGCCATGGCCACGATGTAGTGATCACCGTCACATCACAATGAAGTTGATGATGATGATGATGATGATGATGATGATGATGATGATGATGATGATGATGATGATGATGATGATGATGATGATGATGATGATGATGATGATGATGATGTGTGTGTGTGTTGCGGCAGGTGCACGCAAGTACGGCTTCGTCAGCGTAGATGAACACACGCCCGCAGCCTTCACCGGCGGCCTGGGTGCGCTCACATGTGTGTGTGCGTGTGTGTCTGTGTATGTGCGTGTGTTTGACCCAACACGTGCCTGCGTGATGCAAGCAAGCAACGATGTTCATCACGACCGTGCTCGATGCTGCAGTCACGGACGAC